GCAGCCACTACACTAGACAGTAGAGCATTTTTGAAGTTTGTCCATGTTGTAGCATGTATCAGTACTTTATTCCTTTTTATGATGAAATAATATTCCATGGCATGGATATGCCACATCTGGTTTATGCTTTATGCATCAAGGCATTGGGGTTGTTTACAACTTTCTACTATTAGGGATAATGTATCTATGAAAAAGTTTTTAAGTGTATATATGTGTAGTTTCACTTCTCTTGGGCACACTCCTACAAGTAGAATTGCTGAATCACATGGCAACTCTGACATTTTTAAGAAGTGCTGGCAGGGTGTCATGGCACACACCTATAATCCCAGCAGCTCTGAAAACTAAGGAAAGAGGATCGCAAGTTCAAAGCCAGCTTCAGCAATTTAGAAAGGCTCTAAACAACTTAGGCCCTGTCTCTAAAATATTTTTTAAAAGGGCTGGGGATGTGGTGGCTGAGTGGTTAAGCATCCCTGGGTTCAATTCCATGTACCAAAAAAAAAAAAAGTGTCAGACTGTTTTCTCAAGTGACTGCCAGTAATGTCTGAATGTTCCAACTTCTCCACATCTTCACCAATCCTTGTTATTGTCATTATTATTATTATTGTCATTCTAGTTAATGTTAAGTGGGTCATCTCTCTTCATTTTGTTCAACGTAATGTGGACAACTTCATGTCAATAAATTCATTTTTTTCCCTGAGCATTTTGTAAATTCTATTTTGTGTTCACTTCAATGTCCTGTGGTCTGATAGCTGGGGTGAAAGAGTAAAGCAACTAAGACTATATCTTTTTTAGAATATGAGGTCTCTGGTTTCTTTACTAAGGTTTTTTAAACTGTCTTGAACCAAGATTTTCTTCCCCTAGGTAGTGAGTGGGTTTTGTGGTCTGTGGGGGTTCACCTTGGATTTCAATTCTTTCTTTGGTTCAGTGTGGAAACTCCTTGTGCATTAAGGCATCCATCCTAGTTGTTCACTAGCCCCTCTCCTCCTCCAGTAGTGACAGGGCACAGATAAAAATATTATTCCCCTTCTGCCAGTAAATTTGTCTAGCTAGTGAGAGTCTCTGGGTTTTGCTAATTCACCAGGACCATTTGAGGGAGTAATTTTGTATACCTGAGCAATAAGTTGTTCTTCCCTTCCCACTTCTCTTTGACATTTCTGGCATTTAATTGTCTTTTAGCTCATTTGTGACTGAGTTTCTGTTTGCCAGTTTTTCTGTGGGAAGAATGTGTTTGTTTCTATTAGATTGCCGTTGGTTTTTTATTTGAAAAGGGGGATGCCATGATCTAGCTGCCCTCTACCACCTTTTCAAAAAGTGTCCTTAGCAATAGTTGTAGGTGTTTGGCTTACTCCTGGAAATTCCTCATTATTCATTCAACCGTCACTGTATACCTACTGTGTGTTCAGTAGGGCTGTCCAAGCTGGACTATAACAGAGAAAAAGACTCTTGCCTGCCCTCATGGAGTCTCTTGATAAATTATGTCCAAGTCTCTCAAGAAAAACTTGTTTTGCATAAAAATATATTTTTGCATAAAAATATTTTGTATAAAAATATAAAAGATCATTTCAATACTTCAAATCTCAGAATTCATACCGAAGTCCCCTAGATTGTAACAGTAACTCACAGGGGCTGGGTATATGAGAGCACTTACTTAGCATGAGCAAGGCCCTGGATTTAATCTTCAGTACCACGAATAATAACAATTAATTTATAGCATGAGGACTATAATTATTGTATTATATGCTGGAAATTTGCTGAGTAGATTTTAAGTGATCTTACCACAAAATAGGCAATTATGTGTAATCATAGATATAGGAATAATTTCACTACCTATATTAAAACATCATGTATATCATAAATATATACAATTAAAAAAATTAAGAGCCAGAGGACACAGCTCAGTGTAGAGCCTTTGCCTAGCAGGCATGATGCCCTGGGTTTGGTCCTCCCTCAGTAACACACATACATACATACACAATGATACAAACAATAAAAAAAAAAAGTTTAACTTACATTCCCTCTATATTCTTTTCATTTTTATTCTTATAGATGGACACAATACTTTTATTTATTTATTTTTTATGTGGTGCTGAGGATCGAAACCAGTGCCTCACATGTGCTAGGCAAGTGCGCTACCACTAAGCTACAACTGCAGCCCCTACCCTCTACATTCTTGTGACACTTCATACTTAATCAAAAGTGCTTTTGTTGGATATGGCATGGACAGAGGGGAAGCTGAAGAGCAGGGGTAAAGGAAATCTGTCTTCATTTTGGAGCTCTCCTCATGTCATATTTGAAAAGCTGCATCAGACATAGCTCATTTTCCACTCATTGCTCATGGGATGAATTAAAATCACTTGCAAATTCCTTAGCTGATGATGCACCAAAAATAAATGCAATTCTGGCATAAGGTATTAAAAAAAAGCACAGTGAAACATAATGGTATAGCTTAGAGAAGATATTTTTACATTTTTAAGTCTTGAGGCATACGAGCTTTTTAAATATAAGCACCATAAAGCAGAATGGCTCCTCAGTCGTTTGGAGAAATCGAAGCAACATGGTGCTATAGACAAATATTTATTCAAAGCCAATTTCTGAATATTATGTTGCTGCAGCCACATCAAGTACCTTGAAATTCTTAAATGATTATTTCAAAACCTCCAAGACACTGGGGACATTAACACACTCAGCAAATATATGAAGGACTCTGTGTGCAAGGCATTATACTAAGGACAAAGGGAATGATAGAAATAAATAAAATGGCACCTTCCTGTGAGGAATTACTGGGTGTAATATGCAAGAATGCTGACATAGCAAAGTAAAGATATAAAGACTACATAATGACAGATGGCAAGCTGCAGTGATAAATCCTGAATATCTAGAAAAACATCAAGAGAGGGTTGACTTATATGGTCCCCAACCTGTGTAAACAGGTTCCCTAATATTTCCTAGTCAGAACTCATAGAACACATTCTATGGTCTCTTTATGCTCCCTCCCAAAATTCATGAAATCTTAACCCCCTTGCACAAAGGCAACGGTATTTAGAGGTGGGGCCTTAGGGACATGATAAGGCCATAGAGTGGAACCCTCATGAAGGAATTAGTGCCCTTCCTTATGAAAGTAGCCCCAGAGAGACCCTCCACACTAATACCATGTGAGGACACAGAAAGGCATGCTATGTGAAAAGGGGCCTTTACCAGATATTAAATCTGCCAGCACTTTGATCTTGGACTCCATTTCCGTGAGAAATAAAGTTGTTATGTAGAAGCCATCCAGTTCATGGTATTTTGTTATGGCAGCTCAAATGGACTGCTATAGAAATAGAACAATGGATAGCAGAGGAATAGAACCCCAGGCCAGAGCCAAACATGGCATTTTGCTGCCAATACAAGCCCATGGGATTTTTAACAGTTCACACTCACCCTCACTGGTGTCCTTTGAAAGTGTATTTTATTCTGCAGTTTTTTTTAAGGGGCTGTTCATCATTCATAAGATTGAATGCAGAGAACAAGATTCTTGCTTCTATCATTCATAAGATTGTTTAAACTGTATTTGTAAATTTCTTCATATTTCCTTACTAGTTCTCTGCCTCAGAGACTTGACTCCACCAAATCCTTGATATAAAGGTACCCCTGATTGGCTTATACACTTTAAGTTCCAAAGGCCAGCCCCCTGTGCAAACTTTTTAGGATTTGAGAACAAGTTCATTCATATTTCTTTTTATGGATTCTGAATCTTCGAGCTTTCACCTTTTAAACAAGGCAACTTTGTTATTTAAGTCAGGTCCAAAAACTATAAAAATGGTCAATTATCAGCTGGGTGTGGTGGCACATACCTGTAATCCCAGAGACTTGGGAAGCTGAGGCAGGAGGACTGCAAGTTTAAAGTCCAGTCTCAGTAACTTAGAGTTTGTCTCAAAATAAAAAGGGACAGAGCTCAGTGGTAGAGGGTAGAGCTCAGTGGTAGAGGGCCCTTGGGTTCAATCCTCTAGTACACACACACACACACACACACACACACATATATATTTTTCTCCAATTGTCAAGGAAGCTGCTATTTATTTCTTCCAGGAGCAATGTGTACAGCCAATAACTTCCCACCAACCCCACTCCCTGGCTCCACCACGTGTGGTTGCTCAACAGGGAAATGTTAAGAGATTCTATTCTACATGGAGCTAAATAATTAACAGGATAATTTTATTATAGTTAACAAAGGGCTGCTTTTTGCTGTTTAAAAGTTATTTTCTAAGCAAATGCCAGTTCAACCATGAGTCTCACAAATAAGAAAAAAGTATTAATTTGCCCTTTAAAAGTCCACACAAACTGTGAAAAAACAATTGCCTCAAATTATTGCTCTATGCTCACAGACAAGTTTCTAGAAAAAAAGAAAAAAAAAACAACTTATGATTGGCTGCTTTGGAAGTAGAATGGGAAAGCAAATGTAAAGGGGATGCACCACCTAGTGACCAGAGCTGGAACTGCTCTTGATGAAATCCAGACATACCTAATCAAGAAGACACCCATTTTTCAAAGGCAAGTTACCACCAAAATGATTTAATTCTCTTTTCAGGGAACCTGTAATTAGCAAATAAACTAGAAAAAAATAAGAGTCCATCTCATGATATTTATGTAAATACTCCCAAGAGATATTTTACAGCTTCTAGATCAGGTATGATGGTTAAGTCTTCTGGCTATTAATATGTGCAGATGTTTAAAAAAGCAATACACACAGACACCTAAATTTGAAAAGAAGAATGTTAAGAATATTTAAATGTTTCAAAAGCAACTTTGAGTAGAACACACTTTGAATAATTGCTTTTCTGTCCAATAAAGGGTTCACGAGAGAACTACAATAATTCAAAAACATTTATCACATTTACCAACACTTCCACTTTATCAATAGACTGCTGGAATGTGGCAAAAATAAACATTTTACTTCTTAATAATAAAGGTAAGTTGTTATGACTATCCAAGATATTTAAATATAAAAACAGTGTACAATATTTCTTAAAGTGTAATTTTATTAATTTTAATACATTTGCAACCCTCTACTTTATTAACAAAATTTGAATCATGGTAACTAAACACATAAGTTCTACATTTTACTTTATAAAGACCAGACTATACTGCAAAGCTCAAAAGATGACTGAAGCAGACATAGAAAACCTTAGTTAGATAACAGAATCAGAGCTCACCCATTCTCTACATTCACAGCTGAATGGCTTTTCAAGACATCCCCTTCAGGTTGGAGATACAAACCAGATTGACTCAAGCAACAATAAAACTAACTTCATGGAATTAAATGGCCTTTCCATCACTGCAAAATTTGTTCTTCTGGGTTTAAGTTTATATTTTTTCACAGAAAAAAAATAATTCAGGTAAATAAAAACAAATTCCAGGTTAGCATGTTCAGTGTTTAACTTCTTTATTTTACCTTTATCAAGGCAAGCAAAGTACAGATGCTGTACATTAAAAACATACAAACACACAACTCACAACACATCAGTTACTATAGGCCAATAGACCTTTTCCTAAGGACTGCTCCTCTCTGAAGCACATAACCACAGCTAAATGTACAAAGAGCCATCTGCTGGTCCCACGTAGCCAACTCCAATTAGCAAGACATCTATTAGTGTCCATATTCCCAGGCCACCAAAGCTGAAGAGCTTGCCCAGGCCTTCACGCCACTGGCCCAAGTAGAAGCGGTCTGCTCCAAACCCACCTAGTGTGATGCTGCAACAATAAAGTAGGCTGAAATCCGTAAATGTAGCCAGCTATGGTGTAATATCCACGCCAAGTCACATTTGTGAAAAGGTCTTAAATTATAACAACCCCTAGTTAGAGCATAAATGACCATTTCATAAATTCACAACACCAAATAATGCTGGGCAAGACTGCTTATCAAAAATAAACACATATGGCTTAGCATGTACAGGGCCTAGGATTCAATCCCCAGCACCAAGAAAAAAATGAATAAAGAAGCATACAATTTTTAACCATGGTGAAAGATACGTTTTTCTCTTTTTAATAAAAATATTCAATCTCACTGCTTTTTAATCAAATTAGTCTGACAGAAAGTGTTCTGACATGTAGTCTTGAGCTGGAGTCTTGAGACATATACCACAATGAACCAAACCAGATAAAGTTGTCTTAACTTTCTTCAGTCACTTTTTTTCTTTTTGGTATTGGGGATTGAACTCAGGGGCACTCAACCACTGAGCCACATCCCCAGCCCTATTTTGTATTTTATTTAGAGACAGGGTCTCACTGAGTTTAGCACCTTGTTTTTGCTGAGGCTGGCTCTGAATTCACAATCCGCCTGCCTCAGCCTCCCCAGCCACATGCCCGGCTTTTCAGTCACTCTTATCTAAAAATTTAGTATTACGAATTAATGATTCTTAAGTGCTTCAAATCTTAAGATCTAACATTATCAGGAAAATATTTATTATAAAAATTTCAAAACTCAAATGAAAGGAAAGGGTAGAAAACAGTTTCTATGAGCCAGCTCTCATGATTATTCACATTCAGCCAACTCTGTTTTGATATTGTTAACCTATACCCTCCCCCTACTGCAGAAGACTGCTGGCTCTGTGTTTCCAAAGGAGGTTCTGCATTTGTAGTCAATCAACCACAGATCAAAAATATTTTTTGGAAAAAAACTGCCTCTGTACTAAAAATGCACAGACTTTTCTTTTTGCCCTTATTACCTAAACAATATAGAATAACAACTATTAACATAGCATTCAGGGCTGGGGTTGTGGCTCAGTGGTAGAATGCTCGCCTAGCATGTGTGAGGAACTCGGTTCAATCCTCAGCACCACATGAAATTAAACAAATAAAGTCATTGTGTTCATCTAAACTAAAGAAAAACATTTAAAAAAACTATAGCATTCACATTGTATCAGGTATTATAAATCATCTAGAGATGATTTAAGCACGTGGAAGGATATCTATAGTTCTATGCAAATACTGTGCTATTTTATATAAAGGATGTGAGTATCCAAGTGGACCCTAGAATCAACACCCAAGGCTTCTGAGGGACAACTGTACTTTGGGGCATATCTCATTTACAGAGAATATTTTAAAAGTACTATGTTAACTCTGAACTCATTGAAAATGCAAATTGTAAATTGTTTGCAAAGAAAATATGAGATCCATTTTTAATATGTGCCAAAGTGTTCAGTAAGATGCCATAAAACTGGAAATAAAACATTGATTTAAAAAAAGAAAAAAAAAGTACTATGTTAAACTCTATGAAGGAAACAATTTTTAAGTCCTTAAATGTATCATGGTAATGTAAGATGTTAACTATGCAGCAGAGACTGGGTGAGGGGTGTGAAAGAAACTCTCTACCATCTTTGTGACTTTTATATAAGTCTAAAATTACTTTAAATTAAAAAGTTTTCTTTTAAAGTCAATTGCTAGCTTAACTTGAATAATTAACTGACAAAAACTATGTATGGCCAGCTGTCAAATCTTATTTTGTCATGTCTAATTTCCTATCTTGGATTCCTCTTTTACTTTCCAGTAAACCTCTGGTCAGCACAAACCCTAATGTAATGTCTCTCAAAAATGGGCAATTTGGCCTTCTAGGGAACATTTGGCCAGGTCTGGAGGCATTCTGATTGTCCCCACTGGGGGAATGGGGTATGACAACTAGTAGTAGGTATAGGCTAAGGACACTATTGAAAATTTTTACTATGCACAGGACAGTTCTACTACAAAGAATTATTTGGCTCAAAATGTCAACAGGGAGGTGGTTAAAAAATCTTGCCCTATGTCACATATCGCAGGTCTCAGGCTCTAACATCAAGACTTCATGGTAGATAGCATAACTTTTTGATTAAACATTTAACCAGGGCCCCACCTATCTTTCCCCTTAGTGAGAAGACTGATATAATCCTGATGAAAAGTTTAAAAAAAAATTTTAAGAGTTATAGATCTGTAATTATCTGAATGATAAAATTATAGATTATTTAGTTTTTCTTTATTTTCCACTTTTCATTATATTATATTATAATAAACTTATATAAAATAGCTTACATTATATAAAATAATGTTATTTTTTATAAGGTCAAAGTTACTTAAAATTTAAAAATATACCCTGCAAAACCTTCATATTTTAGCCTATGCATTTTACTGATTCACATAAGTTCAGGATGGGAACCCTGATTAGTCCTAATGCTCTATAATAACAACTCAATTAAGTCATTTCTAGAATGACTTAAAATCTAAATATGCCTGCAGCTAAATTCTACAAAAGTACTGTCTGATCTTTTTACCTATCTGCACCTGTGTTTTCTAGAGGCTATCTAATAGAAGTGGTAGGATCTTAGCAAAGGATGTCTCTGGCTAAGCCTAATGTTTGAAAAATTGCATTGATCCCAAAGAAATCCAAATGGTATTTTTAACTTATTAATACCAAAGCTTACCTTAGAGCCAGAGCAGTCGACCACTTATAACCTCCAGTCCAATTACAGTATAGCATTTTGGGAAAAGTACGATTACCTTACAAAAACAAAAAGGAAAACACTCTACATTAAAAAATGGGTACAAAAATACTCTCAGAGAAGTCATTAAAACTAATGCCTTATAATTTAGAATCAAAAGGTCACCTCTTTTTATAATTAGTTTTACTCTAGTTAATAACACAAAGAAAGTCCTTACCATCTATAAGCACAGATTTAATATTTAAATCAGTTAAGTTGGTGTTAAAACTTAAAGAATATGAAATGCTCTACTAGATATCAAAACTTTGGGTGAAGACAGATATATACAACAGGAAGAGCCAGCCCAGAACCAGCACCACATATAAACACTTGACATATAATAGAGAGTGACAGAGATGAGCTGCAAAATTGGCTATCTAGGCAGGAGGACATAGAAAGGTGAATTTGCCTTCTAACATCTACCAAAGTCAATTTCTCATGGATTATAGTACTAACTGTAAAAGGCCAAACTTCCAGTTTTTAAAAGAAAATAAATATAGAAAATTATGAACCTGGGGTGGGAAAAGAAACAACAAAAAGAAGTAGTTAACTATAAGACTAATTATTTAATCACATTTTCAAAATTCTATTAATCAAAAGATACTCTAAGGAAAGTAGGGAGGAAAAAAGTCAAAATCTGGGAGAGAGTTTTAGGGTCACCTAAGGACAGTACCAAGAATATAAAATAATACCAGAAATCTTTAATATTAGACAAAACCTAAAGATAAGACATACTGAAGATCTAGATCATCAAGAATAGTTATGGGCTATCACTGATGGGAATGTAAATTTCAGAATGTAAACCACTCTAGAAAATAAGACCTGAGGGAGAATACATGCTAGACACACTGCTACAAATATACAAACAGAAGATAGGTACAGAAATTTTAAGAGTTGCTGCAATAGGTAAAAACAGCAAAAAATTCAATACCTTGGAGACTGGATACACTGTTGATACAATTTTATAATTTATAATCTGACAGTGTAAAAATAATAAGAAAAGTCCCATTAGAGCCCTAATGTTGAGAGGAAAGAGGTCCCAGAAGACCACAGTCTTATGTTATTTTATACATCTAATCTAAAATAAAGAGCATATCACACTATATTACACACACACACACACACACACACACACACAGAACCACAGAATATTTTAAAAGGGAAGTGGATGATGAAATTCAAAAGGTGTTACCTCTATGGAGAAGGAAGAAAAAGTAGACAAAGGGAACATTCAGGTGGTTTCAATGTATCAGAACTGTTCATTGTTAATCAGGGGAAATTCAATTACTATGTTTTAGATCTGAGATATTTTTTGTTTTGTGAATTTTGTATTTAAAAAGAGTTGCACATTTTCCATACATTTCTTTTTTAGTCCATCAAGTCTACTAATGCGGATTGGCACAACTAAAAAACTACTGGTGTATATGATAATTAAATTTTCAAGTTTCTGGTGAACTTAGAAATACTTTGTTTATGAAATTCCTTGAACTCTGACTGACTTACCCAAGCAATGGATGTGATCCCGCACCGTGCAGTTGGCAGTGTAACGTTGCCGAGGACAGGACACTGTCATGCAGCTGGTGGAATTGGAGCACTCATAATCTGTTTCAGGAAGCTGCCAGCAAAATCTGCAAGTCATGTTGATGATAAAGCTCTTTTGGGATTTGAAATCTTGATCCTATACACAGAAGGACACAGAATTAATCAATCATAATACAGTTGTTTGTCATCATGTCATTAAGACCACATAGTCATATAATACAAAATTTCTAAAATATATATGTTTAGGACCTAGCAGTAAGTGGGAGAAAAATAGACACAAAAACAATATGTATGCGAAAAAATGTATGTTGTATGATCTTATAATCATAAAAATATACACCCAAATATATATTACCTACCAAAGTTGGGAAAAACCTACATAAACTCACATCAAAATAGCAAAAGTTACTTCAGGGTGATAAGATTATTTTACCACTTTTGCCTAATTAACTTATTTTATAATTAGTACATGAATTTTTATTTTAATTAATTATTTATTTTTGTGCCAGCAATTGAACTCAGGGATGCTTAACAGAGTATATATATTTTAGAAGTATAGAAAAAAATTATTTTATAAGGTCATAGTCACAGATAGCTGCCTGATGCTTCTGTGAGCATAGCACACTGCCTTGCTTCCAAGTTCCAAATTTTCCCAGCATTTTCCAGCTTAAAACAATCACATGGCATATATGTCTGAATTGCTGTGTGTCATGTAGTTCTTCTCAGCTGGGCTACCTATTGGATGACCATGCCAAGTGCTCAAGGAGATGACAGCAGGAGGAAAAACCCTGAGGTGCAGACTGCAACTGGAGATGGCAGGGAAGACCTGGAACTCAGAAGCAAGGGAATGTGCTATGCTTACAGAAGCACCAAGCTGGGATCAGGGAACCTGGATCCTCCTCCAAACTTGCAGCTCAGTGCCCTCAAAAAAGGACACTCTTACCTTTCCTTCAGCTATATTTCTATCTGGGATTTATTTTGGACAAAACAGGGACTTAATTTTTTTTTTTTTCCAGAGAGGTATGCAGTCATCCCAGCGTTTACTGAATCCATCTTCTCATTACAAAGAACTGACTCCTTGGCAAGCTCATCTATGTAAAAAGACATTTTCATGCCTCTATATTATACCAGCTCTCACTACCAAGAACACAGAACCCATCTGCAGGAATTACACCCAATTCAGATACACTAGTAAAATGAGACCTTCTCCAGGTCTTACAAAACAACATTTTTGTCCTGCACATTTTCATATAATACCAACTGGCTTGTCAGTTACCAACATAACTGGAACAGTAGCAACTTGATAAGGAAAGGAATACAGGATTTTAAAATTTATTTCTATTTATGTACTTTACAGGGCTGTTATAAAAGAATACAAAAACAATTTCAGAATCTCCCTCCAACAGTCAAATCTAACAACACTTTTTAACTTGGGAATTTACAATGCATTTATTTAGAATAGGTAAGCTGCAGTACTTACAACACATGTAACAGAAGGTTTCACTGTACAGTCAAAAGTGACAGGCTTCCCATAGACACAGGAGAAATTTGTAGCACAGTCTATACAGTCTGCAGGAAGTCTGCTACATAAACCATTGCTTGGACACTTCATCATATAGGGTGGGATTTCGGTACTTTCTGTGAGAGGTGAGAGAGTGGCTTATTCTCTCTTGACACTGATCAGAATAACAGGAAAACAATTTTTCTAAGGTGAAGAGACACAAACATTAGTAATGAGACACTATGCTGGAATGCAAAAAGCACTGAGTTGGAGTCAGAGTCAGAGAGACACCTACAATTAAAGTATGGTTCTGCCACCAGCCAGCTGTATGACCAGGTGGGCAGCATACTGGTAAAAAGTATTTCAGTCCTGCCTCCCAAGTGGCCATGAAAATTGAAGAAGCTCATGTACAAATAATGTAGAGAAAATGTCAGGTGCAAGTTAGGAGCTCAAAAAATCTACCATTTATAAGATGAAAAACTAAATCTTAGACAAGGTAGGAGTTATGGAAAACCTCAGGAAATCTATGGTACAAATGAAGCCAGAATTCAAATCTCTCCATTTCCAATCCAAAATTCTTTTCATTCAAATTTACTGAATAGGAAATGAAGCCACTGACACCTTTGGTGTACCAACTCTAGAAAACATTTTGTCATTATTCCACACTGATATTTCAATAAGCCATATTTGCTAATATTTATATTTTTATAACAAGGTTCAAATTAATTCCATATTTTAATATTTTTTTCAGCAAGTTGCAACTTTTTAAACCTTTTTAACAGTTAATAGAACATAAAAGTCACTAGTATTAATAAGAGGGGTTTTCAAAAATGTGTAAAAGAGCCAAGAATTCTTGCGTTTTCTCTTTAAAAAAAAAAAAGCATCTTAAATCACATTCAATCAACTTTCACATTCAAATAAGAATCCTAAAATACCTCTTCCAGTTTTGAGTCATTGGTATAATGGAACTCTAAAGGAATGAAACTACTTTCCATTTCCAAACACCACTGTATTAAGCAGTCAATCTACAAAATACAATTTTCTTTTCTATTGTTCCTATTTCTACATGGCTGGAGTCTGGACACTTTAGAACCACAACTGCTTTCAGGCAGTTGGGCTAACCTCACAGCCTGAATGGAGAGGAAACAAAGGCCCAAGAGGGGTGAGTAATTTCCTCAAGTTCCCAAAAGCACCATGAGACTCAAGGCTTCATGTCTCCATTAATCCCTCTCATACGCTTCCAATTCATACAGCATTGGGGGACCTTTTAATCACCAGCAGGAACTGGGTGCTAGAAATAGAAGGAATTTTCTGAAGGGAAAGAAGCACTGGTTAAAGGTTACTTGAATCGAGGAAGTGGAAAAATAACACAAATAAGACTGAAATGAGAAGCGTGAGGTTGGAAAAGAGATGAGGTAGGAATGTCAAAAGGTATTCAAATACCAAAACTGTCTACTGAAAATGGCTGTGTATCTGCCCATAATTCACATAACCTAAGATACAATACACAGTCAAAAATTAAGTGTCTTCGTATACTAAAAGAAACTGTATCAAAAACAGAAAGAAACTACTATATATAAAAAGGCACATTTACTAGAATAGAAAACGTCTAGTACCTGCTGCCCTGGGAACTACTGTGAATGTACGTGTTGGGCCCGGATCCTTTATTGCCTGAGCCAGCGGCTGCGAATGCTCTAAATTTAAGGATCCTACAATTAGAGAAACACGTTATCCCGGGATATGAAAACCTTGGTTTGTGTGGTTAACACGCAAGTACTACACCAAGCCAATAACTGCTCTTGAAAACCTCAGGGTCTGACTTCCCGAAGACAGAAAACTGAAAGGGCGCATCACCAATAGGGTCTACACCGTTTCGAGTCTGCAGGTTAACAAAGGCGGTTTCAAGTTCAGTTTCTGTTTCCCCGGCGGAGCCACGGAGAGTTCCCTCTCAGCTGGAGGGTTCGGTAGCGAGGTAGCTGAGCACAGGCTCCGGCGAGGCATCCAGGGCACGCCAGACTGCAGCTACCCGCCGCCCGCCGCCCAGCACGCAGCCTCTGTGGTCCCGGCCCCAACGCTTCTAGCAGCTCCTGGGACCCTCTAAACTCTCAGCCCGCCCTGGCGCGACCCCCGACCTTTAACTCACCACCACCAGATAGAATGTAGAACTGCGAGAGGAAGAGCAGCACGCGACACAAGCGGCGGAGGCGCTGGAGCGGTCCCGCCGCAGCTGCCATCTTGCCGGCGCGCGCGCACTTCCGGGCCGGGAGGCGGGGTTCCCGGCGCGCGCCTAATGGGGGCGTGTCCGGGCGCGGCCTAAGGATTCCGGGGCGCAGGCGCTCTGAAGCTGTGGTCCCGCGCTATTCTGTGCGGCCGCCGCACCTGCCGAAGGTCACCTGGAGGAGTGCAATCGCCTGACCCAGTGAAAATGCTCGGTCCCCTAGCGTCCCTCACACTGACTAGACGCGTGCCCCGCCTCCTTCTCTTTCCACTGCTGTAGCCTGGGAAAGGATCGCCGTAGTACCGAAATTCACCCAGAAGTGACTGAAGGTAGAGGCGGAAATTTGGGGAGTTAGGCACTATATTCAGGTAGTGGGATGCCTACGTTTAGAGATAAACGTTGCTACTGTGTGCTAGGTACTGTGCGAAGGTGCAGGGACCACATTTCATAACTGCCCTGCCTTACTAGCCAACTCCTTAAGGATACGTGGTATTTAGAGAAAATTCCTGTACGACTGGGAAAAAGCCCGATGTGGGATTTTTCACGCGAAAGGAGGGTCCCAGCACAGCCTCTCCCCGAAGGCGACCAGCCTAGGGTAAGGAAGGGAACGCTTTACCCACCTATGTCTGTTCCCAGCACAGCAGACGTCTTGAGGTGCCTCTATTCCACCCCTCTTAACCCGCGACAAGATCTTTCACTTTGGGGTCTTCGGACCGCCCATCAAATAGGCCGAGATCTGGGCCCTCTAAAACTGTGAGCAGCTTCCTCATGCTAAGAGAGTAAAGGCTGAGGAGCTGACCTCCCCTGGTCTAAGAGACACCAAGGAAGCCCACAATGCCAAATTGTTCCCTGCCCTGCCCTCTAATGTAGGCTAACTAAATCTGCATATGGCTATTTCCTAATTTTTGTCTCACTTTGCCTGCCTCTTCTCTTTTTCAAAAGCTGTCTTTGTCCTCAGAGCCTCCCAAGATGGAATTGTGAAATAAAAATTTTCTTCTAACTTCCTTCAAAGCTGGCTTTAAATAAAAAACCTCTTTTCCTACCAATTTGAATATTTTGGGAGCAACCAGCAGTGGAGTAGCCTCTTCTCCAGGGCTATATTACTGTCACCCTCTAACACCCACTCTTCCACGTGCACTTTTGATGAGTGAAAGAAGAAAAAAGAACACGGAATAACACTTGGCACATGCTTTAAAATTTTTATCACAAGGTACACGTATTACTACTACACAGGCCTGACATATGACACTTTGTTTACCAACTATTTCACAGTTCACATTCCTCACAAATCATTTTGAGTCTATAAATCAATAAAATGTCATTCCCAACAAAAAAGCAATTTAACTCTAGGTGAGCATCTTACTGGTATAAGCCCAAAGCCGAAACAAGGAAACACTGTGTGATGCATTTTATTGGGGAATTCATTATTTCTAAAGACGAACAAAGCTCGATTTTTAATTAGAAGCATTAAAACTGCAACTCTTAAACTACAATGCAAATAACAGATTCCACAACACTGAATTTCTTTGATTTTATGAGTCCTTTATCAATAATTCAATATTTATTAATACCTGCTTTACTTGTTGTTGCCGGTTAGTTAAAACAAATTAAGTAATGATTCCATTTAAATGAGATAAAGTTTCAATGTTAACTTAAAAACAGCCATAAAAATAACTGAGACATAAGAAAATAAGATTTCCCCTCAAAGTCAAAAAGGCTTTGTGGACTTTTAATGGAACGCATCTTTTCTTCCCCTTTTTTCTTAGTGCTCCGGATAGAACCCAGGTCCTTTTGAATTCTAAGCAAGCGCTCTGCAACTGAGCTCTATCCCTAGCCCTGAAGCCTATCTGCTGAAAATCACAAGTCTTAGCAATAACTTCATATATCTCATTTTCTAGTGTTTCCATCTTTCAATGAATAATATCTCACCATTGAGGTCTCTGAAGTCATTGATTGCTTGGAAATTTCCCAAGCTTCTCTTCTTATCATCTTCAGAACACATTAATGAATTAACTTTATACATATATGCTAATCATTCACTGTGACCCATTTCAACTGATCCCATGAGTGGATCCATCAGTGGGTCCAAAGTTCTTAGAAGTTCTAACATGTTAATTAGTTAGGAAAAATGCATTTGCAAAGGTCAAAATAGATTACATAGAAGCAAGTACAAGGAAAGCACTTTAAAAGTCTTCCTCAGCATTTAGTGTACGTGATTTCTTGAGATTCTTCAATTTATTAATGGCAGAAGTTACTGAAATCTCTCCATGAATTTTGTTGTCTCTTGTTCGAACATTTACAGCATTATTTATCTTTTCTTTTTCTCCAACCACTGTAGAAAGGAAGGGAAATAAATCAACCATTAAGTCAACAGTGGTATTATGAGTCTAACTGAATTTTTCTTCAGTATTAGTCACTAATTATCTATCTAATGGTCATTAAGTTCATGCTTTAGCTGAGTGTCTTGAGGTAAGGAATGACTTCTAATCACATCTTTTTATTGCTCACTCGAGAATACAGTATTGTGGCCATGGGGCATGATTTAGAGCAGGAAATCTTACAGATCCCCTGACTCTACCTGGTGGTACTTGATAAGTCAAAAGATGCACACAGACCCATGCTGGCCAACCAGAATTTTCTGGGATGTGGGCAAAAAGCTTGTTCTCAGTAGTAATCCATATTGTGAGATGATAGCAGGAATCTGAAGCCATGTTTCTTGCCACACAAAAGGAACAAACTGATCCACTGATAATTTCAACAAACTATATACTCAAGTGAAGCATAAATGACTGGTGCAAAAACAGGAACCAGAAATGGGGAGAGATAATCATTGTAAGGGCTGAGGCTCCTGGTTACTTTTCTAATGGTTTGGCTATTTAGGTCTACTTTTCATGACATGGGTACCCTTCTGATAAATCTTTGTCTAACCTAATTTGAGATTCTGTCACCACAGTGAGCCTGATTAAACAACACAATACCTACCACAGAGTCAAACATTATCAATGAACAACTGTCGATAGGACAACTTTATGCATATTGATTGTGTTTTCTACTATTCTTTCAGCTTATGAGAGAAAGCAATACCATGCCTGCAGGCATGTCAATATGAGTTTCTCTTGATTATACAGGTTTACAACCAAAATTTTAAATTCTGTATCCAATTACTCATGTTCCTCAAGGTATTTTTTTTCACCTTAATTCTTTTCTTTTGAAAATTTGGAATCTTTCTCATTCATTTGTTTAATTCCCATGATTTCTAATAAACCAGCAAAGCAAGGGAAAATATTTCAGTTCTGTCACATGGCTGAAACATAAAGATAATAATTCTACTGAAGAGGTTATTTTCAAATTTCTTTCATTTTCATTTGAGATGTTCACTATTGTTAATAATACTACACAACAGGATTCATGTGGAACTTTAAAGTCTTCATCCAGCAAATAACAGAGGACCTAGCAACAGCTAATCCAGGACTCTTCTTTGTACAGAGATATTAAACAGTCAAACTGTCATAATCAAGTAGTTATGCCATAGTCTTTATTTTGCCTTTTTAAAAAAATTAAAGCAAAAATATAAACAAACTGAAAAAAATATAAACAAATTTAAGTTACCCAAAATAAAATTATATTGAGCCAACTGTGCATTTCTTATTTTCTTATTCAGTGTACAACTGTCATCTAAATCAACATCGGCCATAAATCCTTCTTCAAAAAATTCATTGGATACCTGGAAGAACAAGGAATACTTTCATTATTACATTATTTTTGGTAGACAGACTGACTCTAGGACAGCCCTCATTATTCCCATCTGATATTCATACCCCTGTGTAGCCCTCTACCCTGTATCAGAGTCGGTCTGTTACCCACAGAGGAGGGCAGAAGTGGTGGTAGTACACTTCTGAGGCTGGGTTATAAAGGACTGCATCTCTCACTCCCCAGATCACTCAAGCTGCCATGTTGTGAGAACATTCAGGCAGCCTAGGAAGAAGTCAATAAGGTAAGGAGCTGAAGTCCATATGAGTAAGCCTGGAGGACTGTAGCCCTGTGACAGCCTGACTGCAGCCTCATCAGACACCACACCAGAATGCACTAGCTATGCTGCTCCCAGATTCCTACCTCGAGGATGCTGAGATAATAAATACTTGCTGTTTTAAGTTGCTCAGTGTTAGGGAAATTGTTATGAAGTAACAGATAATAAGGTATTCTTCTCTAATAGAGCCATATGGAAAAGAATAATTATGTTTGGAAATACTAATTTCTCAAAAACACTGTGGTTCAACTACATGGATATGACCCGTGTTACTTCCAATAACTGAAAACTTATTAATGTGTTAGTTATACAGTATTTTAAAGCAGGAATGACATTTCAAGCCAATGACCTACACAGAATACATGGCAAAGTATTAGGTACTTCAAATGTCTCTAATTTTACCTGAACTGCATATTCTTCACAAGTTGAACCCACAGGGATGACCATCACCTGACGAGGAGATAGCCAGAAAGGCCTGAAAAGTATACATTTTCAAAATCATTTCAAAATGACCACTTATTCTGTGATTAAAAAATAACCAAAGATTTTTTTTAAAGTATGGCTTTACAAGAGAGCAATTTCAGTGGAATGGTATAGAAGCAAACACATTAAGAGTTAAAAGAAGTAGAGTAGACAAAAGGAGAAACCTGGAATTTTGATAGGAAAAGAGAAGGAAGAATGGGTTGGAACACAGATGGGAGGATAATCATATACTTGTGCTTCTGGGCATTTATCCTAAATAGATGAAGACTTATGTTCACATAAATCCTGCACACTAACATACATAGCCACTTTATTTGTAATAGCCAACCCAAATATCCTTCAGCAGGAGAATGGTCAAATTGTGGTGCTTCCACACCTTGGAACATCATTAAGTAAAAGTGAACCAAGTGTTGGTACTTGACATAACACTGATGGATCTCAAAGGAATTCCACTGAGTTAAAAAAAAAAAAAAGCTGAGCTGAAGAGGTTGCATACTATATGATTCTGCATACTTGACAATCTTAAACTGACAGCATTATGGAAATGCAGAACAGATTCATGGTTTCCA